GGGCATGGTGGCACATGTCTGTAGTCCCAGCCACTCAGGAGACTGAGGCAGAAGGATCGCTTGAGCCCAGGAGTTTGAGGTTGCTGTAAGCTAGGATGATGCCACGGCACTCTACCCCGGGCAACAGAGTGAGACTCTGTCTCAAAAAAAAAACCAAAAAAAACAAAAAACAACACCGAGCTTATTCAACCTGGAAAAAAGAATAGGGCAGAAATCATACACACACACTGAAAATAATAAACACATTGGTCATAATCCTGTGCTTCCTATATATGACAGAATCCACATGGAAGAGTTACTTATGAATGTGATGAAAGTGAGAAAGCCTTTAGTCACCACTTACTCCTTCTTCAACAGGCACGAACTCAACCTGGTGAGAAACCCCTGGAATGTGATAATCCTGAGAAATTCAGAAGGAACTCGCGGCTTGTTTGTACAAGATATTACAAGGGAGAGACATTCCATAAATATACAGAATATGACAAAGTCTTTGGACATCTCTCAAGTCTTAGTAGTCATGTAAGTACTCAAAATGGAGAGAAAAGTCTTGGATTTAATGATTGTGGAAAAGCTTTCAATCAAGAGTCTTCCCTTGGGAAACACTTAAGAAAACTTACAGGAGAAGAGGCTCATGAGTGTGATGAATATGGTATGTCCTTCAGCCTACACTCATCCTTCTCAGTAAATGAGCAGATACCTACTGGACAGGCACTCAATGAATGCAGTTATGACACAAAAAGGTCCTCCCTTAGTGTCTACAGAAAAATACACACCAAGAAGGAGAGCTTGGAATGTAACGAACATAGAAAGGTTTTCACGGACCTTTTGTCCCTTCAGAAATGCGTCAGAACTCACACTGGAGGGAAACCCTATGAATGCAGTGACTGTGGAAAAGCCTTCGTTTTTCAATCTTCCCTTAAGAAACACATGCGATCTCACACTGGAGAGAAACCTTATGAATGTAATCATTGTGGAAAATCCTTTAGTCAGAGCTCTCATCTTAATGTTCACAAAAGAACTCACACTGGAGAGAAACCCTATGACTGTAAGGAATGTGGTAAGGCTTTCACTGTTCCTTCATCCCTTCAGAAACACGTGAGGACCCACACTGGAGAGAAACCCTATGAATGCAGTGACTGCGGAAAAGCCTTCATTGATCAGTCTTCCCTTAAGAAACACACACGCTCTCACACAGGAGAGAAACCTTACAAGTGTAATCAGTGTGGAAAATCCTTCAGCACGGGCTCTTACCTTATTGTGCACAAGAGAACTCACACTGGAGAGAAAACCTATAAGTGTAAAGAATGTGGGAAGGCCTTTAGGAATTCCTCTTGCCTGAAGGTACACATGAGAACTCACACTGGAGAGAAACCTTATAAATGTGTCCAGTGTGGAAAAGCGTTCACCAGAAGCACTAACCTCATAATGCACAAGCGAATACATACTGGGCAAAAACTCTATGAATGACACGACTACAGGGAAAGTAATGTCCTCACACCTTCCTGATTTTAGAACTCACACTGGAGAGAAAGCCCGTTGTGCCCAATGTAGAAAAAGCCTTCAGGCACAACTCTTGATATATGTTACACGGGACAAACCTTATAAATCTTATGGTTCTGTGACTGCTTTCATCCGTTAAAGTGCCATAACTTATTAATTTGTAAGTATTAAAGATTATATATCACTAAATTTTGCTTGACTTACATCACAAAAGTTTTGATATGTAGTAGTATTATAGTTAAGTACTAAATATTTTCTAATTCACATCAAGATGTATTGGACCCACAAGTTATCATTTAGTTTACCTGCATCATGGACAGAACGCATGGGCTTCATGATATAGATTCAAACAGAAAATTGTTGGAGACTTGCTGTGTGGCAGACAGAACTAGTTGTTGTCTCAATGTCCATTCTTCCCTTCTTCCTTAAAGTAACAAACTTAGAGTTTTGTTCGAGTTGGCACTGTGGACAGTTTTTTTAAGGACACATCTTCCAGCTTTCCTTGCAGCTCTGAGTGACGAGATTTGTCCACAGTCCTGGCCGTGAGAAGTAGGCAGAGGTTACCAGATGCAGTTTCTAAAGAAGCTCATGGAAATGGGAACATTTCTTCTGGCATTTTCTCTTTGCTGTTTTGCCCTTTGTCTGATCACTTCTTTCCTAGAAAATACAGACACCAAGAGAATGACAGTTACAGGATACTAATGATAGAACAGGGGAGACACAATGTTATCTGGCCATACCACCCCTGCACTGCTTATTCATGTTATAGGAGAAAAACAAACTCCTAACTCATTTAAACCAGTCTCGTGAGAAGTTTCTCTTACAACCAGTTTCAGTCCCAACTATTACAGCAAATATATGGTCAAGTTTTATGAATCTTTCAAGTACTGTCGAAAACATTGTGTTTTCTAACTGTTGGATACAACGGGCTTTTTGGTGTATCCGTTGGATACATCTTGTGTTTTTAAAATCTGTATATTTACAAACTTTATCTCCTGATCTGTCATTTATTGAGAAAGGTATGTTAAAATGCCACACTATAACTGTGGGTTGTCA